GGAGTACTGAAACAAACAGAGCCTGGAGGTTTGTGTAAATGAAGGATGTAACCTGAAAGAGTAATTTATTAACTGGGACAACCAAAATATCAACTCTGAGCATCATCTGTATAGGAAATTTGGGGGCTTTAAATACTTTCATTATCATTTCAGAACCTTCATTGCCCTAATGTTTACTTTTCAAAAGTAGGTGTGACGTTAGCCGGCTGTAGTTTATTGGTGTGATATATAGTGATGGTAAAATATATATATATATTTATATTACAATCAGAATTTCCAGTCATTTTCTAGCCTAAATATGGTGGCGATTTTCCATTTCCTCATTGTTTTTATTTAACTGTAAGTTTTGAAAGGATTTCAACGCTTTGAGTAAATGGTGAGCGAGCAAGAACCAAAGAATGAGAAAGCAGGGAGAGCAAGGAGAAAGATGAAGAGTATGAAGGCATAAGAGATGAGAAAACAGTACAGTTGGCAGCTGTAAGTGTGACGATGCAGTAAAACCTTGCATGTCTTTATTGTAAATTTTCAGTTAAATCTTTCCTTATTAAAATTTTATCCAAGGGTTGAGTTATAGCTCAGTGGTGGCACGCTTGCCCAGCATACACAAGGCCCTAGGTTCAATCCCAGAAATGAAAACAATTCCCTGAAGGAGGAATCAAGATGACCTCTAGTGGGTTGGAGTATAGCTCAGTGGTAGACCATTTACCTAGCTCATACAAAACTCAGGGTTCCATCTCTAGCACTAGAAAAAAATACTAAGGACCTCTAGCCAGAGCTCTAGTGATCTTTGCACATTGTCAATATGACCCACTTCAACTGGTCCAGGAACGCAGCAGAACCTCCATTCTAGATCCAAAACCTCAGTCTGGGAACCTTTCCCATCCATGAGCAGGTAAGGATTTTCACCCGGAAGGAGACGGTACAAGCTTCCTCCCTGTATAGTTTATTCCTATTATTTATACTTCTAGAACTGAGAGGTCATAACATGCCCCTTCTAAATATTGCTCACAGACACAGTATATGTCAGAGTCAACCAGAGCCCTAAAACATGTGACATAAGAGGATGTCCAGTGGGAAAGAACCACTGCAGTTCCAGGTGTGAGGACATGTGCCCCTAAGTAGATTTGTTGCACACACTGCTTTTCTTGAAGAACCCACTTCCTGCATAGGTCCCTGTTTTTGTACAGCTCTGAAGGAAATGGCCCTTGACCTCGTGTACTTATTCACCAAGAATTCAGACAGGCTGAGTTGGATAACCATTCCACATGGTTCCAATTAGTCCTCAAGGATAGTCTTTTTCTTTTTAATTTGGCAAATGATAGCTACTAATAAACATTTATAGAAAATAAATGGATGGATGGTTGCTATTCTCCCTACAGTTTAAGTTGGGTGAATATAAAGTGGTAAAATAAACATTTGTGAAGTGTTAGGCTATAACACTGTATTTCTTCTAAGATCAGCAGTGTGCTAGAGTTTCACTCACTTGCCATTTTAGAGGTGGGTCAAGACAAAACTCATAGACAAGGGCTTTCAGGAGAGTCAGAGCTTCCCATTCCCTTTGCTCTGTGTTGTCAATCATTCCAGGGTTGACATGTTGACCCCAGTTGCCTGAGACACTGAAAAGTCGTGCCCACTGGTGTAAGAAATAAGGAAAGATTAGATGGACTATATATTATCCTGTTCCACTAGTTCTGTTTTTCCACTTCAAAGCTGTGGCCGGTAGACCAAGTAGCCAAGGTGGCTTAGCAAATAGTTAAGCCTGTACTCTCCAGGCTCCACAGATGAACTTACATGTGTTTGCTCTGAGCTGCTGTCCAGGGAGAAGTACAAAACAAGCTGGCTTGGTGGAACTGATAGGTCTGATTTACTCCCTGCTTATAGCAGCAAAAACAAGTTGAGTGAAACTGGTTCAGACTTAGTTTATTTGTTGAATTCTCGCCCAGAATCACGTGCCTGTCATATTTGCTCAGCTCTTATTACTGAGATTACCAAAGTTTTGCATTACAGAGTGTTTTTCATCTCTTACCCAAAGCAATGAAGTCCAGGCCTTCTTGGCATCTGTGCATTTGGACAGAAGATTTCAACTGTAGATACAGGTGGAATACCAGACAAATATTTTTTATTGAAAAGAAAATTATGAACTGTGATTAGCAATAGACAAAACTAGCTATATGAATTGTTTTTGAGCTTTCTTTTCCTTTGATATTCTTGAGTGACCTATTAAATAATTGTAATGCATTTTGAAACCTGGAAATTGATTGATGCAGTACCATTCACTAGGCTTCAAATTTTAAAGGTTTTTGTATATATTCATATTTTTAGAATCTCTGTGTATATCTGGGATGACAGCTACAGGTTCATGTAGTCACCACCACAATTAACATACAGAATTGCTCCAGCACCACAAAAGGACTCCCTCATGCTGCCTCCTTGTAGCCACACCTTCCTCCTTTCCTTTTGCTGATGTTGTCTCCATCTCTGAAATGTTGTAATCTGGAGAATTTTATATACATGGATCTGCACAATCCGTGTAACCCTTGGAGACTGATCCCCCTCACACATACACACACGCACACTCACACTCGATATAATTTTCTTAAGATCCACCCAAATTGTTGTGTGCACCAGTGGCCTGTTTCTTTTCATTGTTAAGCCATGTTCCATGTTCACATGCACCAGAGGTTAATTATTCACCCACAGAAGGATATGCATTTAGGTTGTTTCTAGCTTTTGCTATTACATAAAGTTGCATGAACATCCTGTTCAGGTTTTTGTATGAGCAAAATTTTTCATTTCTTTAGAATAAATTTTCAGGAGTGATTGCTGAAGTCTAGGAATTCATTTTCTCCTTTCCCTCCCTCCCTCATTTCCCTCCTTCCTTTTCTCTTTCTCCCTGGCCCCACTCCTAACTGCTAGACTGATGAACAGAGTGGCCATATCGATTTCCATTCTCAACAGCAGTGTATGAAACGTCTAGTATCTCTACGCCGTGCCAGCATTCAGCATTATCACTGATTTTTATTTTAACCATTCTCACAGTATATGGTGGTACCTCAGAGTAGATTTAATTTGTAGTTCTCAATAGTTAATGATTTTGAACATTGTTTCATGTGTTTATTTGCCATACTTCTATCTTCTTTAGGAAAGTGTCTACTTAAGTCTTTCTGCTGTTTCCTAATCAGATTGTTTTATTACTTCTGAGTTTAGAGTTCATTGCATATTCTGGCTACAGGTTCCTTGTCAGATATATGATTTGCAAATATTTTTTCCATTGCTTTTTAGCTTTTATTGAGTTGTTTTTTCCAAACCTTCTGTTTGGTTCTATTTTCAAAGTCTGCTTGATCTTTTTTCAGGGATTCCTGTACTTTTCCTTTTATTGTTTTGTACTTTTTTCTTAAGTCCTTTTTTAATATATTTATCTTAAGTATCTTCTTTAAAAAACTGTATTTCTATTTCAATTTCTATTTCTATTTCAAGAATTGTAGTACCTGAAGTTCCATTTCTGCATTTTGCACTATTTGAGGACCCTCTTTTGTGGTATTGTTTCCTCGTGTTCACAGCTTCAGATGATCAACCTCCCTTCACTGAAATGTAATCTTTGGAAATCCCTCCAGAGGCCTCATGAAGGAGATATTTTGCAGGAGACATTTTGCATTTACTTTTCTGAGAACCTCAGAAGCACTAGCAGCCAGTATCATATTTTATGCTATCATCTCAACTTAGCATTTCCTAGACTATGCCCACAGCATGGATTTGGACACCAGAGGGTTTCATGACTATAAACATGCACAGGGTAGTTTTTAAACTCCTCCCTAATGGGTGGGCTTATTTTTTCCACTCATTTATTTTTAATTCTGCGCTGCTTCAACCTGTCTTCCTGTAATGGTTTTAGTTCCAGTCTCCTCTCTCTGGGGCTGAGACCTTATCTCCTGTTCCCATGTGGGGATTGGGATCCATTCCCCTTCCCAAAGTCACTTCAGCTCTTGGGTCAATCTCACTGGTTTTCATGTCCCTCATTAGTCTTGCTGCCTGGGGATTTTTCTGACAACTATTTTATTCATCTTTTCATTTAAATAAAATATAT